CTAGACTTGAAGAACGAGAATGGTTTCCAGGGTCTCTTCCAGCTACAAGTTTTATGGCTGTGAGGCAGCTCTTTTCCCTATCCTGTAAGGAATTAGATTTATCAGAAATCTTAAATGATTTGTGATTGTGTTGTTGAACCCAACAGTCCAACTGTATAATTTAAATCTTATTTAAAAAAAAAAAAGTCTGACAAGTATAATGCTAGGTTGTAGAAGACCAGCAATATAAGGCAGATCTTCTAAAAAGCCTTTGAGATATTTTTCTGGGATGTGAGCTATCTAAAGTTTTTTCTGTCTCATTAACACTTAGATGTGTGTGTCATCTTTAAAAGTTTGTTCAAAATTACACATCATCACAGATTTGAATGGGCACTTACCAAGATAGCTGTACATCAAAAGACTCATCCAGGATAGTGTTCCAAGACAACTTTCTTATCAACTAGGATAAGAGTTTCAAATAGTTTTTCTTAAACAGGTCCATGCACAGATTTCACCCCTTGGACAACAGAAGAACAGAAGCTTTTGGAGCAAGCTTTGAAAACGTACCCAGTAAATACACCTGAAAGATGGGAAAAAATAGCAGAAGCAGTGCCTGGCAGGACAAAGAAGGACTGCATGAAACGATATAAGGTTATAGATGTTTAGAGTTTGTAGATTCCATTATCATTTAAATTATATTTTTGTGCTTATTTGAATACCACAGTAGAGCTGGGGACAATATTAAAAACAAATGACCAACCTTAGAAAACTTCTAGCTCTGGCATTTAGTAAAATCAATTTTTTCAGTTGGGTCTTAATTATGGATTCATCCAATTTGAATGTTTTACATATTTATTATACCAAACACTAGAAATGCCTGCAAATTCTGACAGTCAGCTTCTTAAATAACACCTTTCTCCCTTCCTAGGAACTTGTTGAGATGGTAAAAGCCAAGAAAGCTGCTCAAGAGCAAGTGCTGAATGCAAGTAGAGCCAAGAAATGACTTGTGACAATCTTTGTTGTGTGTGCGTTTTTATAATAAAACTGAAAATACTGTACAAATTTTCATTCTTAAAAATTATACTTATGGTGATAATCTGTGTGTTGTTCCAACGTAACTTCCCTTGAGCAAAAGATCTACTGTTCACTGTGGTGGTCGTGTCATCCTTTGCAAGTCTGATGCTGTATTTCATTCAAATTTCCAAGTATATAAGTTCATTTTTATTTTTTTCTTTAGGGATGGATAGCTTAAAACCTGCAGCTCTGTGTTAGTTTTATAAATATATATATTCAAAATATTTAGATTAGGAGCATTTTAATCACGAAGCCAGCACATGTTACTGCGAATCTGGTTAAACTCGGGCAGTCGCTCAATAGGACCTAAGGATTAAAAGAAAAGAGAGTTAGTTAAAACTGAATAAAAGAAAAGTACTTAGCCACCTTTCTGCATAGGAGAAAAGGAGTCAGACTTACCAACGGCAGCAATAGCTGGACTCTTATCATATATATATTTGGTACACACTTCTCGAATTGTCTCAGCATTTACAGCCTGAAAAAAAGAAGACGATACTAGCATTCAGAGTTTTTTGTAATAAACACAGATTCTATGCCTGGAACTTTTTGGAGTAAAACAGGATTTATGGCACATATTTTCAGCTTTTGTAACACAAGACTGAATGGTATCTAAAGACTACATACATCAATTCTTGCTTCAAGCTCAGGGATGGGAATTCTTCTATTATAGCATAACATTTGCCTACCAATATCTTCACAAATTGGAGTGGAACCTGTTTAAAGAGAAGGAAAAACTAAGTATTGGAATATAGATCAACCATATGAAAATAGAACTTATGTCTTTATTCTTACCATCGAGTTGCAATAACATGTTGGTTTTCAGAAGATTTTTGGCTCGTGCAACTTCACTTTCAGTGACACTTGTACAGAGTCGCATCCTAAAAACCATTTGGAAAAATCAAAATGTCAAGTAGTTTGAATTTTGTGTTTTGTGAGTTAATGACCTAAAGAAAGATATGATGCTATATAGTCTACGTATTACACCACAATGTACAAGTGATTATGATTTAACTTAGTAAAAATTTGAAATTACTAATGATCTCAATAGCTAAGCAAAAGCTAAACTATTACTGATTATTTTTATGGTATTGTTAATTTCTCAAAAATGGTATGATTAGCAGATAGAGGTTCAATACAATACAAAAATTGGCAGACCATGTCTTGAGAAATGCTATAATCATTTTGAGACTTCATGAATCCCCATCTGTTAGGATCTGATATGCTAGGGGATAGGTCACTGGGTCATTGGTTTCTCAAAGGAATCCAGCTGAGCCTAACTTAAACCTAATAATTAAATTAATTACACCCCAGTTGACTAGATTTAGAGAGATGTAGCCATTTAAGAATGATGGAGGAAAGGAACCAGAGCTAAATAAAAGTGTTCCAAGAAGCCTTGGGCCTTTCTGCCTCTGTCTCAAGGTACTAGTTGTGACTAAAACCCTACATTTTTCTTTTAGCAATGGCAACTTCAGATTCATTTTCATAACACTGCCTTTCCAAGCCAGATAACTTTTAGAGATATTTTCCAAACTTCTAGTTGGTGTTTAAACACTTAAAATTTTTAGAATCTTCTTTCTGAAGTAATCTGCTTCTTAAAGATTAAGAATTTTCTGTGGTATAAATCAACTTTACATGAGACTTAGAAGAAACATCTGAGATCTTTAAAAACATGGCAACCACTGCTACTGCCTAGGCTTGTTCTCTTGAACATCCCCATCAAGAATAATCACCATCAAGGGTATAAAGAGGACACTAGTCTGAAACGTGAATTCTAGGCAAGATTTAAATTATCTTCTCACCATTCTTTTTGAACAACATGTAGCATGTCTGCAACAGTGGCTGGTTCACAAACCATGTAGAGTCCCCATAATCCTGTATCTGTGTACGAAGTGTTGAAAGACTGGAAGCTATGGCAGAGATTGCCATGGCAGCTGAGCTGGGCCAGCTTGCTAGATAAATTCTGTAAGGAAAAAAAGTTGTCCAAGAGAACTGTACACACACATGTCCAAATTACTACAAAGAAAAATGAGATAAGTGGCAGTGAATGCCCTATGAGGCTGAGTTTCTCAGTCTTAGCCAGCAACATCTCAGTAATAAAGTGACTTATACTTACTTCACCAGCCCAATGCATCTCCAGAGAAATCATAATGTAAAAGCAATGAAACCTTCAATTAACATAGTAGCTGCACCCACTTCTAAAATAATACATTGCTGTTATTAATCCAATTAGTTAGGGCTCTTGGTTAGTACGCTTAAAGATTTGAAATTATATTGCATGTGAAGCCTAAGATATTTATATGAAATGTATTTTGTTGAAATCTTGGAGTACAAATATATACACTTTGTATTTTGAAGTAATCTCAGACTTACAGAAAAATTACAAAAATAGTACAAAGAATTCCCTTTATCCAAATTCCGTTTCTTTACCATGTTTGCTTTATCATTCTCTTTAATATATTGTTTCAACTGTTTGAGAATACATCGCAGATATGCTTTCTACCCCTAAATACTGTTTAGTGTGCACTTCTGAAAAACAATGCAATTAACCTAAGTACAATTATTAGAATTAGGATATTAACATTGATATAGTACTATTAATGAATTATTCTATCCTTATTTAAATTTTGCCAGTTATCCCACTAATAATCTTTATGGCAAAAGAAAAATTATTTTCTTCTGGTCCAGGATACAATCCCGGATCAGTTTTTTTTTTTAATTTTTATTTATTTATTTTTTCCCCCAGAGCCCCAGTAGATAGCTGTATGTCATAGATGCAAATCCTTCTAGTTGCTGTATGTGGGACGCTGCCTCAGCATGGCCTGAGAAGTGGTGCCTCCGTGCGCGCCCGGGATCCAAACCCGGGCCGCCAGCAGCAGAGCGCGCACACTTCACCGCTAAGCCACAGGGCCGGCCCCTCCGGATCAGTTTATATTTTAAAATTCATTACAGAGTTCCATTTTGTCATTTATTATGGAAAATTACTTTTAGAATCACCTACCATTCCTCCTCCAAAAGAGCGATCCCAGTTGCCAATTAGTGTGTTTGCAACCATGAGACAGAGTGTATCTGGATGTGCCCAACCAACAGCTTCGACAGCTACTGCAAGGTGTGCCAGAGGCATCTTGTCATCCCTCACTCGAATCTAGTTAAGATAAAGAAAACAAAACTCCAGTTAAGATTACCACTATAAAACATGCTTAACAAGAAAAAAACAAGTTCACCGGTCCCATTAACTGCAAAGTTAAAATGCTCACCATGACTCTATTTTGTTTTAACTGTCAGGCCTCATAACATTGCAGTCTAATCTAGAAGAATTTCATGAGTAGGGAAAGAAGACTTTCACCAAAAGATCTCCAATTGAAAGACTACAGACATAGCCACCAGATGGATACCTGGTCACAAAAGATTGCATTATTTCACTGGTAGAAATCAATCTTTTTTGTCTGTCGATTTGAATTTTTCTAACTTTAAGCTAATATTGACCTAACAGGCTTGTTTTTGTACTGCCAAAGGCACAGTTCTGTGTAACTGCCAACATCAGACCTCTTTCCAATACTACTTTGAGCATCATCCCTAATGTGGCAAACTAAGCCTCCATGAGGCTTAAAGCTATAGCTGACAAGCAGCAGATTCTCTGCAAGTCTGGCTCTAACAGCTACCCCTAGAAATGTACTGTGGGCAGAACTTATCCAAGAGTAAACTGGATATGAAAGTCAAAATTTGGGGTGTTTTTAAAATAAAAGGTTACTTGGGCTGGCCCCGTGGCTTAGCGGTTAAGCGTGTGCGCTCTGCTGCTGGCAGCCCGGGTTCAGATACCAGCGCGCACACCAACGCACCGCTTCTCTGGCCATGCTGAGGCCGCGTCCCACATACAGCAACTAGAAGGATGTGCAGCTATGACGTACAACTATCTACTGGGGCTTTGGGGGGGAAAAAAATAAAATAAATAAAATAAAAGGTTACTTTTATACAATATATAAATGGGCACAGTGCCAAAGAAAAGGCACAAAAAAAGACCAAATTATAACACTGCCCTTAAAACCTTTCTTCCTGGGCTGGCCCCGTGGCTTAGCGGTTAAGTGCGTGCGCTCCACTACTGGCGGCCCGGGTTCGGATCCTGGGCGCGCACCAACGCACCGCTTCTCCGGCCGTGCTGAGGCCACGTCCCACATACAGCAACTAGAAGGATGTGCAACTATGATGTACAACTATCTACTGGGGCTTTGGGGAAACAAAAAAAAGGATTGGCAAAAACAAAAAAGGAGGAGGATTGGCAATAGATGTTAGCTCAGAGCCGGTCTTCCTCAGCAAAAAGAGGAGGATTAGCATGGATGTTAGCTCAGGACTGATCTTCCTCACAAAAAAAATTAAAAAACCTTGCTTCCTTAGGAAAGAAAACCAGGTGGTTAAATACTATGGAATAGGAAGGAACATAGGCAAATGAGTCCATCCTCTTCACTTTTTCTGTTTCAGTTTAAGCCTTTGGTTTCTTCCATTTTATTTCTGTTAGAAACACGCACATTTTGTACACTCATTCGTAAATACAACACAAGAAACCCAAAGGGCTAACTACTAGCTTAGGAGGCTTGGCCTACCTCACTTCCCGTGAATTTGCAGGGAGGCAGAGCTGGTACTTCTCCTTTGTGTCTGGACAAAGAGTCACCAAAATGAAACTTGGCTAACTCAAGCAGTTCATCATGGGAAACTCCTAAATTGAAGGAAAATATTTCACATATGTGGTAGAACAATCTAAAGCAGACAACTAACTGCCAATATTTTGATTTACAATGAGTTCAAGATGGTATAATGTGACAGAAGTGATACATGAACTACCTGTACTCTCTAACAGCCGTGTAACAGTAAGCTCACAGCACACTGTTTTCCTTGGTGCTATAAGGCTAGAGTTGCACAGCTTTCTCATTCTGTACAGCAACTGACAGTATTCATCAACATACCAATGGATTCACAGCTAAGGATAATAAGACAGCTTGAAAATACCACTTTCCATACAAAATCATGTTATATTAAATTATTAAAAGTCCTAGAATGCAAACTAGCAAAAATATCACTTTACAACAAATTTTTAAAGTAGAAAAGAATACAAATATGAGCTCTATTCATTTAAAGAAAGCTGGATACACAGATATGCTTCATTCTCTGAGCTCTGCTATCAGAATTCAGGTATAAAATAATTTCATCTAAGTTTCTGAATAAATCCATAGTTATCCAAACACTCACTACTTGCCATCCAAAAATTAAGAATTACTTAGATTCTATATCCCTTACTGTCCAAACTCGGGACCCAAACAGATTCTGTCAGTGAAGGATTCTTAAACACAGATATAAACTCAAAAACAAATTTAGGCATGTACAAGTGCTTTAAAAAATAGTGCCACGAGATTTCTTTAAAGGAGATATCCATTAGAATATAAAAGCACAACTTACAGCCATATTTTCCAAACAAATCTGTGACATAAGACAGTGTATGATTGTACACTGTTTTCAGCATCACTATGTAGGAGAGCCACCCTGAATATCAATCCAGAGAGTGATGAAACAATAGGAAGACCCTGATGGCACAAGGATGACAAGCAGAGAGGAAAAACCAGGAACATGCACAGTTCTCAGCACCTGATGACAGGTGCCTCCACTGTTTCATTACCTGCACCTCAGCCCTCTGGCTGGATGTTCCAGATATTCAGCTCCTGCTCTAACACAACCTCTACTTCTCCCAATCCAGAAGGCAGGGGAGCCAACAATTTCTTTTAAAAGAAACTAGGTCTGGCCTATTTCAATGAATTTAAGATGCCATTGTTTATAGGCACATCATCATTAATGTACCAATAAGACAAAAAGCTAATTAATCTAGGACAGGTCATTAACTGTAAGAAATCCCAACTTCAGCAATGTCGAAAGGAACCCACGAACTACAATAAAACCCATTGTGTCCATTTGCCACCAACAATGGCAGAGACACCCCAGATAGCTTGACTATGGAGGCCCCATCTAACCAACAGTCTTCCTGTTTCCAAGGCAGTTTCAAATGTTGAAACCCCAGTCAGCACCAGCCATTTCAGAAACAATGTTACTCACTCAAGAAAATTTCAGAGTGCACTGCCTGCCATATAAAGGCAACATGATTTAGCTGAAAGCCACAATGAATAACATGCTCGAGATATTTAACCCTTATTTTCATCTTCTTCATTATTCCCAATTAACTAGCTCAGAAGTCTACCGAGGGCAACTAGAATTTTAATTTATTGTCATTTCTAAAGAGAAAAAAATTTACACAAAAGAACAATCCATCCCTCTTCGCTTTGCCCTAAAAAAAAAAGAAAATACTGGAAACCAATAAAATGTACTGTTTGTTTAAATTCAGACTGGCAGGAAATCTAGCACAATTTAATGTGAATTTTCATTCATTCACTGGCTTCAAACATGTTCCCGAGGAACCCTTGTCCTGATGCCACTTGCATGTTCCGATTCCCATTAAACAGTCTCATGGCTCCCTACGTACTTCCCCTTCTCAGTAATTAGCAGATCTACTGAATGAACACACAACAGAATGAATGAACAACATAACATACTCATTCCATGCCTGACCAAGGATGAAACTGGTTCTCAAGGAATAACATGAAATCTAAAGAGATTCCCAAACTATAGAACACTATCTTCCAAGTGACATTGTCTCCCAGTTCACTCATTTGCCCTTTTCTTGCAAGTAAATTCCATTATATATGTACACTTATATATTGGAGGGTCCATAAGTTTTTCTATGAAAAAACTCTACTAAAGAGAAGATGGAGGGAAAGTCTGGTTCCAGTGCTCCACATTCCCCTTACAGAGTATATTAAAAATTTGCTCTATAAATAAAAACTCTTAAGACATCTCCCAATAGGATCAAAGTGATAAGCCCATCACTCTAATGACTGTGTTTAAAAGAGTTATAGAAATTTAAATCAACTAACCTCCAGCAGCAGCGAGTACTATTCTTGGCCCCTTATAATGTGTGGTTATGTAATCCACTAAATCTTTACGATTTATAGATCTGTAAATGGAGTAAGAAATATTAAAAGGAAATTAAAAAGCATAGATCTTCACATAATATACCTGAAATTAAATTGGACCTTAAAGGTACTCTAAGTTGAATGCAGTCAGAAATAGGGTATAGGTAACAAGTATCAAAGAATTTCAACTTTGTTACAGTAAGAAAAAAGATTTGATACCATCACTTGTTTATTCCCTAAGTAGCTGGGAGCCTAGACACCTGGGAGTCAGGTGGGGCTAAAGTGTAGGTAGTTTCATTCAGATTATCAGCAGGGAAAAATTACTTTTTGAATGTTTGTGAATGTTAATTTTCACAACTCACAAATTTTCTAAAAAAAAAAAATTCTGAGAATTATACCTACTTGATATTTTCAGTTGGTCCCAAAATTGTCCGTCCAAGTGCAGTATTTTGATAAGCTGTAGCATGAAGATAATCAAAAACAACTTCTTGTAAATTGGTTTCAACTTCCTGCATCTCTCTAAGGATTACTCCACGTTCACGTTCAATCTCTGCTTCTCCCAGTGTGCTGTTCTGTATTATATCAGCAAGAATTTCTACAGCTAATTGAAAATAAAACATAAGAAGAAACACTAAGAATCTTAATTTTTGCTATTAAAATCTATTAAACTAGCATCAGAAACTATGATACCATCACTCAATACTGACTAAATGATTCAACTGGGAAGAAACAAACTTTTCTAAACATTCGACAAACCTAAGAGACAATATTAAAATTAAAAATGTAAAATATAAACCCTTGTGGTTAAAAGAGCTTGGAGATAATTCCTAAATTTGCCAGACGTCCCCACAACACTTGCAATGACTCTACTTACAACCATTTCAAAAATGTCATGGAAATCTGCACAAGTGTATATTGTTCTGTATGAAAATTACAGAGTAGAAAATTATCTGTATTAGAATATCTAGGTATGTACAGAGAGTCCACATCACCCAAGTATTTACTACCCAAGTTCCCACAGCAATGAGGCTGCTACATGAAGAAGCCAAGAATCATCATAATCTAAAATATGCCCCCAATGAACCACTTATAGAATTAGTGTCCTCTCAAATATCTTTCTCCTTTTAATCCCAGTGTCTAATTCTCACCTGTCTGGTCAACGTTGGCTAGACTCTTACCATTAGCAAAGTCACTGAAGTTCATTTTAAAGGGCCTTGTCTCAGAACCAATTATGTTCAAATACCAAGGACCTCCTGTAATTAACTACCTCTGTAGCCTGCCCAACAGGACAGAACAGACTGCCAGAATAAGCTGGGGCTGAGATCATAACAAAAGGGAAAACATTATCTATAAAGCCAAATAAAAACCATCTGTCCAGACAAGAGAACCAGAGACCAAGATGGTCTCTGAGGAAGAGCCCCAAGACAGAGGGGAGGATAAGAAATCTTGTGTGAAGACCCTCCTTTATATGGGAATAGTCTAGACTGATACTTCCCAAAGTGGGGGGGGGGGGTGTTCATACTTCCTAGTATTTGTTTTAATCAGAATCTTCTTTAAGTCTTTCTAATGTATATTTAATATTGTATATGTTAGTATCCTAGTACATGTATTTAATTTATAAATATGCCTATATTGAGGATATACAATCAATTCTCTCACCAATAGGGATGGATGATCACAAAAGTTTGGAGACCACTAGTCTAAACATCTAATTATTACCTGATTCTCCACGCTTCACCTGACTGAGGGGATAAAACCTCAAGCAACCCCCCAGAGTGGGATCTACTTAGAGGGCACTTCCACCTTAGATTCCTCCGGGAGTCCCTCTGCATTTCCATTTTCTACTCCCACTGGCAGGGGCTCTGTCCTTCCCAGCCAGAAGCCAGGAAGAAAAAAAAAAGGTCTCATGCCTTCTCTCTTCCTTTCCCTAGTCCTCCTTTTTGCTCTCCCTGCTCTCCTCTGTGTAAATAAAGGAGAGGGACAGGCCAGCATACACAACCCTTTAAAGGAGCCTGGCCTGGCCCGGCCCTTTGTTCTCAGTACCCAACTGGTCCTGGGGCACAAACTGTTTCTAAGGAAATCATTAAAAACCTTACCAATGTTTTTTGCAATTCAAACCAACACACTCTCCACTGTTGTCATTTTTATTGGTTTTATGCAAAAGTTAGGCTAACATATTGTGAAATGTTTATTTATTTGCAGGTGGTAGGTGTTTTGTTTTGTTGTTTTCACAAAGCAACCTGGCATAGTGAATCTGAGTGAGACGACATGCATTAGAGTCCACAGTAAACCACTAAGCTATGCGATACTGGGCAAGTCCGAGTCTGGGCCTCAATTAGCACAACTGCAAAGTGGAGACACCTACTTGATTACGATGCAGATCAAATGAGATAATATATATACAAAATATATATAAAAGTACTTGTGTAAAGTATCATTCAAACATTATTAATGAAAGCCTATTAGGAATCCAAAATTTCAAAGTAATGACATTAACTAC